TGTCCTCTGCTCAACCATCAGTGGCCGTGCCTTCAGCCACTACGCCCCGAAATTCTGGAACTCTCTCCCTCAGTCCCTCCGCCTTGCCCCTCCCTCCCCACTTTCAAATCCTGCTTAAAGATCTTCCTTTTTGATCATGCTTATGGTCACCTCCCCTCTCCCTCTCTCCCTGGCTCAGTGTCAGACTCTGCCACTGTCAAGCGCTCCGGGATGATACCCCACTTGAAGGGAGCTATATAAATGCAAGTTGTTATTGTTGTTGTATTAGTCTGTCAGGAATCAATTGCCACCACTGCACGTGAAGAGAAACATGAGACTGACCACACATGTCCAGGGGATCCTATATTGAAGGAACAGGTGAATCTGAAGTCATCTGAGTTGAGTCACAATCTGGCATTTGCTTTTTTTTAACTGAACAATCACAGTCAGATCACAAATTTTGGAAAAAATTTTCGTTCTTCATCTCCTGAAAGCGTCTTACTCAATTTTTCTTCCACTGTGGTACAGGACAGCAGTGTGCAGTTGCTCCCCTGTACCTTGTCAATATGTCAGTCAATTAGTAATAGTAGGCTAATCTACCACAGGGGCATCATCAACCCAACTCTGTCCTCATATGATGTCCTTGTTAGTAAGGTTCTTGGATAGAGATAAGGAGCAGGACATTTGACTGATCATTATCTTCCTAACTTAAGGGACCAAGGCCAGCTAACCCAGCTGGGTTCAGCACAGTGCAATTGGAACCCACAGCCTTCTGTTCTGTGTGGCAGGGAGTCCACCTGGTGAACTTAATTTTAATGGCATTGTACAATAATTATGTTCAGAGATAGGACATTAAACCAAGATCCAGTCTACCTGTTCAGTACTTTAAACAACAACAAAATTACATTTATAGAGCGCCTTTCACGTCGGGAGGACGTCCCAAAGTGCTGAACAGAGGTGTCAGGGCCCGAGCATGGGGGAGGGGTGGTGTAAGGGTGAGGGAAGGCAGAGAGGTGGGAGGGCGACCAAAGTGAAAGGTCTTGAGACCGGCCTTGAAGGAGGCAAGGGAGGAAGTGAGGCGAAGGGACCGTGGGATGGAGTTCTAGAGTGTGGGGGCAGAGAGGCTGAAAGCCCGGCCACCGATGGTAGGGCGGGTTGGGCGGGAGACATGGAGCAGACCGGAACCCGCTGAAAGGAGGGAGCGGGCAGGTTGGTAGGGAGTCAGCAGGTCAGAGAGGTAGGAGGGACGAGGATCTTGAACTCGAGCCTCTGGGGGATGAGGAGCCAGTGGAGTCGGGCGAGGGTGGGTGTGATGGGGTCACGGAGCCTAGTGCACGAGAGTACACGAGCTGCAGAGTTTTGGATGATTTGCAGCTTGTGAAGGGAAGAGGTGGGAAGGCCGATGATGAGGGAGTTTCCGTAATCAAGCCTTGATGTGACGAATGCGTGGATAAAGGTTTTGGCTGCCAGCGCCCGAGGTGGGGAGGTCCCATGGCCCTCTTCAGAAAGAGAAGGGAGTTTCTTCCAGTTTCCTGGCTGATAATCCCAAATAAAATTGGTAATTCATGTCATGGCTGTTTATGGTACAAAGTCACTGCACTTTACAGGAATGCTCTGAAATGCTTTGAAACCTCCTAAACCTCAATGGATCTACTTTAAATGTAAGGATTATTACTATTATTTTACAAAAAAACGTGTATTTTTACATATACTATAAATGTCCTGCAAGGAATTTTCTCTATATACAGCCCAATCACTTATGACAAGATCATTTGAGTTTTGTCGACATAGGCCAGACAATAGATATTCTGTGATTAACATTTCTGTGCCATGCATTTTCATTGATTTTTTAAAATATTCATACATTTCATTAAAATTCCCGAACCATTTATTTACGTCATTACATTATTTACAGAAAATGATTTAAAGTATTTACAAAAATAGTTATGTAAGTAAAAAATATTAATTTAAGAGGACACTGTTGATATAAGTGATAATAAAACAATGCCTTTAATACTGTTTGGAACCTGAATAATTTGTCTACATAAGTGGGCTGGAGTTTATGTTGACGTAGACATGGACAGTAAGCTTTTAGTACAAATGTGTGAAGAAGGGACCAGGACTTTACTTTTTAGTCATTATAAGCAGGATGTCATTAATGGTAGGACTACAAGTAGATAACTCATCTCTTTTTAAATTTGCCTGTTCATGACATAATCTATGAATCAGATCACTGTGAATGAATAAACAATCAAATGTTACTGTTAAAATATAGCATAGTGAAATTTGTTTTATTTCAATTGAAATGCTGCATTGTTTTTAAAGTGTGCTGGTATTATGTTTAACTCCTAATATCAGAGGTCTTATGGAACGATTTCTCCGAGGGGCAGATTTTGAATTTGGGTCAATTTGAACTTTGTCTCGATGACTACAGACAGATCCTTGGCCCGTCTACAACTCAGACTGACTGTGAAAACCCTTGGCTTGCTCCCCTTTAACCCCTTGGAAATACATCTGACATTCAACACGAGTCGCCAATGTTTACAGTCTACAAATATGAGACAGAGTGCGATTCATGTACCACCACATTCCAGAGAGCTGTGAGTGTATACACTTTGGAATCAGACACTCATTGGCAAACATTTGATATTAGATACATTTTTTAAAAAAAACTCTTGCTTCATATTAAAGACCTGAAATGTTCTATTTCCTGGAGGCTCAAAAGCAACCTATTTCTTAAACTGGCATCATTACCAGTGAAAGGTGCTTGAGAAATGTTTTGTTCATCTGCCAGCATACAATGCAATCAAATAATTCATCACACAGTAATAGAATCTGAATTAGAAAATGATACTGACTACTGAAACTTTTACTGCATCATGAAGAGAATGGAGTGTATCTTATGCTGTTCAAGAAAAATAGCAATCCTTTCACATCTTTATAATTGCATTAGAATTTTCCCCTCCTCCCTGCTCAGTATCCATTTCTGTCACTGTAAAACACTCCGAGATACCATTATACATGAAGAGCAGGATATAAATATACGTTGTTGGCGGTGTTCTTGCTGTAACCTATTGAGTCCATTTCTATTTTGTCAATACTTAAAATCAATTGTATTGTGATTAAAATTACATATTTCTCTTCTGACTATTCTCTCTCCCTACCCTTGCCCCAAAATTCCCTGTTAAAGAACCTTACAACAACAATTTGCACTTATATAGCGCCCTCCACACAGGGTAGCGTCTCAGCGCACTTAACAGCGGCAGAGCCTGTCTCTGATCCGGGGGGAGTGGGGCGGTGGCCGTACGCACTGTCAAAGAGGAAGATTTTCAGGCACGACTTGAAAGAGGGGAGAGTTGGAGGGATTGAGGGAGTGTTCCAGAGTTTTGGGATATAGTGGCTGAAAGCGTGACCTCCGATGTTGGGGAGGAAGGTGAAAGGGACAAGCAGGAGGCCGGTGCCAGTCAAGCAGAGGCGCCGGGGGATGGATTGGGGAGTGAGGAGGTCAGAGAGGTAGGGAGGTGCCAGGGAGTGAATGGATTTGACATGCTTTAAACAGTTTGTATAAATTATGTTTTTCTGAATATTTCTGACAACAATTTACTCCAACCAGCTGAGATGTTGTAAAGATCTATCTCACATTATGGGCCAAGGAGCACTAATATTTGTCTCGTTGTGAGCTGGGAAGTACTAACATCTGTCTCACATTGCAGACTGGAGCACAAACATCTATCTAATACAGATGTTAGTGCGCTGGGAGACTACCCTGCATGAGGGGCACTACATAAATGCAAGTTGTTGTTGTAATACTGTGAGCTGGGAGAAGAAATATCTGTCTCACACTGTGAGGTGGAAGAAAAGTTTGTGAACATCAATAATGCTGAAGTATCAACACATTACCTTCAAATGAAGGAGTCATGTCAAAATTGACACAGAATATCCTGTTTCTTCTCCCTCCCCAAATAAGCCATAGNTTTTTTTATGGCACTTATTTACATCAAGTGGATCCTGTACTTTAAGGTATAAATAATGCACAACATAAACTGGCTGGTGCCAATATATTGTGTTTACGCTGACCTAGATTCACTCAAATGAAGGTTGACATTTTGACTTTTCCACTGCATTTCCATCAGAATGCTTTAACTGTTTACACTGGAGTCTTGTAAAAATGAAACTGGATTAAAGTCTTGCGTGAACTAAACTATGCCATTCCATCGCAGGCTCCTGTGGGTCATAAAGCTAATAGTATACCTTGATTGAACACAGCCTGATAAAGGGAAATTCTGTGCATATGTTTCTAATTATTAATGAGGGGCCCAAAAGTTCTTAGGCTTAAAATTTCAATGTAGTCGTGTGAAATCTTGGAACTATCTTTTTTTTTAAAAAATGTGCCCAATTATTTTATTATAATTTTCTCCCCACTGGCACAACGTGCCTCTCTTGGTCTGGCTTCCTTTTTCTGGGGCAAGGTTCCATGGATGCTGGTTTTCCTCCAACACCCCATGCAATTAGCTAATGTTCATGTACGGGTCTTGGTAGTAAATGTCGGCACGCCACAAACACACATAAGCAGTAAAGGGTGTTGAAAAGGAACCAAGAGCTGGAATCCTGTGTGTGTTTCTCCGTAACACTGGGAAAGCCGGAGGCAAATTTAACTTCTCTCCCTGACCTCATGCAGCCCAGGCTGAGACCAGCGAACTCCGGACAGACTGGGATTTGAACCAGTGAGTTCCTGATTTATAAGCTGCAGCTCTATCCACTAGTCCATCAAGGTTACCGTGGGAAATTGTCTTAAATTCAATCTTAATTTGGAAGACAATTTTTCACAACACCTAAAATGAATTGCAGAAAGCTTCTGAATGTCAGCAGAATTCAAGACAGTTTTCCAAAATTCTGCACAATCTTATAGTTCAAGGCAATGGTCTTAAGCCTACAAGTAAGCTTTTCGATCCCGTATTTGCTGGAGAGATGAGCCTCATTTTTTCTTTTGCCTCCAGCATTCAGAATCCTTTAACACTTACAGGGTTTCGGGAGACGACGTCCTTGTCATTAGCCACTGCCATGAGCTGGATGATTGTAAAGACCGAGTTGAAGACGTAAGAGAAAAATAAATTCTTATGAAGTGTTATCCTTTGGCAGCTGAGGCTCCTGAGGGGGAAACAGAGAAAAAGATTAATGTTTCTAACTGCTCTGTGAGGGACTTGTAGCTTCCAGTTACCTACGAAGGGATTGCAACAATGATGTCCTTGATAGTTTATAAACAAACTAACCCTAGTTTAGTATAACTAACCCTGCTAGCACAACATTTGTGAATAATATAAAAACTTATATTTAAAATTAAAAACTTACATAAAAAATATAAAAATTTATGAATAATATATATAAAAATATAAAATCACAAGACCGATTGAAAGAAAATCACCTTGATATGCTTATGCGGATCAAATCTCATCTGTTAAGTGGTAAAGAAGTAAGCCTGGACAAAATATGTCATGTAGCTCCGTGGTTAGAGTACTCGCCTCGCAAGCGAGAGACCTGAGTTCAATTCCCGGCAGCGCGAAACCTTGGGCAAGTTTCCTTACTCCACATGCCCGATAATAATCTCTCAAGAAACAAAACAATAATAGATTGGTCACTTCAATCCACGACTGTTTGTGGGACACTGCTGTGCGCAATTGGCTGCTGCATTTCACCCACAAATATACAGTCTATTCGCTTTACAGAATATTCTGTGAAGCACTTTGAGACGACTAGAAGACGTGAAAAGCGCTGTATCAAATGGAAGGATTATTATTATTATTATATTTATGACAAAGTCCCCAGCGACCACTTTGCAATCGCTACTGAGATAGGCAACCAATGCAACTAGAACAGCTGTGCTAACATCTGTCTCACTCTGTGAGCTGGGAAGGATTAACATCTGTCTCACACTGCGAGCTGGGAAAACTAACACCTCAAAACGTTACCTCCCTGACAACCTGTTCCAGGGGTTAGTTACCCTCTGAGTAAAGAAAAGCTTCCCCAATCTGTCCTGGAATTGCCCTTTGCAACTCTACACCTATGTCTTTTTGTTCTACTGTCTTGGTGCATCCTAAAGTATTGTTCTGGGTTTACCTTTTCAATCCCATTTAAATGTTATGCACCTTTATGAGGTCCTTTCTGAGTTGTCTTCTCTCAGGACTGAAGAGCTGTAGCTTGTCTAGTCATTCTGTCTCATTCTGCAAAGAACTAAAATTTGTCTCACAGTGGGAGCTGGGAGCATTAACATCTGTGTCACTATGTGAGCTGGGGCGCATTAATATCTGTCTCACCATTCCACACAACAAGTCCCTGCATTACAGGGATGAATAAAGCACAACTCATTCTGAATACAAGTCTTTGTAAGGCTAATTGATGTGTCCTACCAGGGAACATGACTGCCCACTGGGATAGAGGCGCCAGATTCATGCCTTATTTGCATTGCACATCTGTGCAGTGATGATGGAATAAGCACTGTTGCCAGTGCTAGTGACTGAAACCCAACTCTGTTGGGGTTATTATTCATGCCAGTATAACATTACAGTTTATTGTTTAGTGCTGTCACTGCATGCCAAAATTCATAGCAGCTGAGGTTACAGAAACTATTAGGAATCATTTTCCTGATAACTATCCCTAAGTCCCTACTGGCAAGTTCATGTGTTTGTGGGGGTGTCAAGTTGACATCATTGTTATTCACCTCTTCCCCTGATGGTCAAACATCTTACAACTTACTGTCTAGGCTGAAATATTAACAAGGAGGGCAATCGGCACCCATTGAACCATACCTCAGGATGATCTAGTACTTTCATCAGAGGAAGAGAGTGTGGAGGGAAAAAAGAAATATTATCTACATCCCTACCTTGGAAAATTGTCCCAGACTATATTATATTATTGGCTTTCTCAAAGAGCATACAATTATAGACTGTTGCAGTAGAGGGATAGATTGACTGTCATACATATAGATGCACCAGACCTTTATCACATTTCTTGATCTAAATCTGAGCACAGGCCTTTTGAAGAGTCTGACAGGCTGTAAACCATTGTAGACAATGAGGTTGTGAATAACATACCAGTGAAGCTGAGTAGATGAGCTCTGGAATCCCAGCCCATAATTTGATAATTAGTTTAATTTACGTGTAGGTCTATTCCTCTAATTTATTTCAGTCATGTTTATTTACCAGTTTATGGTGTCTCCTTGTTGAATGTACCACACTAAATTCAAACCCCTCAGGTGGATTCTTTGCCACTATCTTTATCTGTGAAAGTCTATCATCATAATAAAGGTCACAAATTCACTCGGCCGAAACCAGGCAGAATGTTGTTGCGTGTTATACACATACATTCTGTAAATGTTTGACATTTCAGCTGCAGCAACAGCCGTGTTGTGGATACAGGAAATGTTCACACTCCATATATGCTGCAGTTTATGTGCCCCGTTGACACTACCTCCTGAGGTTAGTCTGCAATCATCTCAAGTCTGGTGTCAATGGCATCAAGGGCAACAGGCTGAACCATTCTGGCTGGTTGGTGATGGTGGACTGAGCTATCAGCCCTCCTACACACTGCACCACTACATGTTTAACATTGCTTGTCAGAATAGCTCTTCACAAATTCACAAGATTGGTTTGTAGGCAAAATGCCCTTCAGCCCATTTGATCACACCCTTCCAGAATCCCCATCCTGCGTCCTTCCATCCCAGCATGTTTTTTAAATGAGTCCAGCATTGTCCTGGACTCAACCACCTGTCCTGTCATCTCTTCTAGTTGTTAATTGCCCTCAAAGTAAAGAAATGTTTCCTGGTGTCTGTCCTGAAATTGCCTTTTGGCACTCCAGACCTGTGTTGTCTTGTTTTGCTGTCTTGATCCTGAGATTGGTGAATAGTTTCAATGTTGCCTCTCATAAATAAAGCAAATTGAGGCAATACCAGCACTAGATTCTGTTTGACCTGGCTCTTTAATAGACAGCAAAATAAAAATAAGAAAGTATCCCACAGATTCCACAGAATCTTTAATTCCATAGATACAAACTCCCTCTCCTCCCAGGACCTTTGACATAACAGTAGTTCAGAGAATACCCTAGTTAAAAGTTCATCAGGAAACAACTGTATAAAGTCGATGTCCTGGAAGTTTTGTTTACTGACATGTTAATAGAGGACATGCAGAATAAAGGACATCTATAGTGCAGAATTATAGAACAATTTGCTTTCCATTTACATTGCCAATGTTGGGGAAAATGGTTGAAAAGGTTTGTTTACTGACATGTCAACAGAGGAGTGGGATGCAAAGGTGTAGAGGCCAGGAGCAACATTGAATCCAGAGTGTTAGCACTGATGTAAGTTGAGGAACAAATTGTTCCTTTGCCATTCGCTGTGCTACTTAACCCAAGAACAAGTTAAAGAAGATTACAAAATTCAGCGATGAATTCAATTGTTACAATAGTCTATGATTTATGTGGAGTCCTGTAGCTCAGTGGTTAGAGCACTCGCTTTGCAAGTGAGAGACCTGAGTTCAATTCCAGGCAGAGGGCGAAACCTTGGGCAAGTTTCCTTACTCCACACAGAGCCTAATAATAATCCCTCCAAAACCAAAAACAATAATAAATTGGTCATTTTCAATCTACGACTGTTTGTGGGACATTGCTGTGCGCAATTGGCTGCCGCGTTCGCCCACAAATATACAGTCAATTCACTTTACAGTATATTCTGTGAAGCGCTTTGGGACGTCCTCCCGACGTGAAAAGCGCTATATCAAATGCAAGGATTATTATTATTATTATTATGTTTGCTATTGGCATTGTGTCAGCCTTTTGAAGCATTGTTGGAGGTTTTTTAGTGCAAGTGGACATCAAAATAAAAATAAGATCTTTTGAATGAGACATTAAACCAAAGATCCCGTCTGCCTGTTCAGTTGGACATTAAAGATCGCATGATCCCACTACGCATTTGTAGACAAACACAGCAGCCCATTTGCTCTCAGCAATCAACACCCCTGAAGTGAAGCCATGGAGTGAATAACCAATTTTATTGGGGAATTGTTGGCTGGGACATCAGGATAAACTCTCTCCTCTAATAGAGTCTAAAGAAGAGACACTTGTCCCCTACACAAGACCTTTAAGATTCTGGTGTGAATTTTCTTGCATCAAATGGAAAATGGTTTTGTCTAAGTGTCATAGTCACCTTCATGCAGTGGCACTGAGATAATTCACCCACCAAGAACCCAAAGATGCAGAACTTAATGGAATGTTTTGTGAAAAATCTAAATAAGCACTGGATAGCTGGTGCCTACCACTAACTCACCTCCTCAAAGAATTCCAATAGATTTGTGAGGCATGACTCTAAAGGTATGCTACCTCCTCCTTATGGCCTCCGCACTCTTTTGATCAATGCTGATAGCATCTGTAAAACCCTTTCAACCATTTTCCCCAACATTGGCAATGTAAATGGAAAGCAAATTGTTCTATAATTCTGCACTATAGATGTCCTTTATTCTGCATGTCCTCTGTTGACATGTCAGTAAACAAAACTTCCAGGACATCGACTTCATACAGTTGTTTCCTGATGAACTTTTAACTTGGGAATTTTCTGAACTACTGTTATGTCAAAGGCAAATTGTTCTATAATTCTGCACCGTAATCCTCCACTCCAGTGCTTTGGGGCACTCTCTTGATGTGAAAGGCGCAATACAAATGTAAGATGTTGTTCTTGTTGTTCTTGCTCACTCGCTCACTCACTCACTCACTCCTTTTTTTCTATTGTTTTCTACTCATGTTTGACATCCTCACATCAAGTACAGCTTCTGTGTTTATCGAGCTCTTGAAACTATTAGCCAGGGGATTTCCTATTTCTTCTCCCATATCTTAAAAACTTCTATGGTGGTATCCCACCTGATCCACGTGAGAGATCATTTCCAACTGATCTTTCATTGAGTGATTATTGAAGGAAGACAGTAAACCAAATGCTTCCCAGTTCACCAGGTATTATATGTAGAAAATCTATCTCTCAGTCCAGTTATAGAAACCATATACAGTTTGGTGAAACCACTAAACCAATGTGAAGCTGATAGCTGGGAAATTACACTCAGTGCATTAATTAAATGGAAAGATATTCATAAAACTACAAAGATATGGTATAGAAACAGGTTGTTTGGTTCAACTAGTCCACACAAGCATCCACCCCTCCTAATGCCAACCCCTTTCCCGTCTCCTATTCCTTTCTATTCCCTTCTCTCTCATGTATCAGCCTGGCTCGGTTGGTATCACTCTCGCTTCTGAATCAGAAGAGTGAGTTCAAGCCCAACACTGGGAATTTGAATTCCTATAGTCTAGGTTGGTACTCTAATGCAGTCCAGGAAGGGGATTACTGCATTGTGGGAGTGGGACTGATTGGATAGCTCTTCCAAAGATCCGCCACAAGCACGATGGGCCGAATGGCCTTCTTTTGTGCTGTAATATTCTAATATTCTATGATTCTATGTATGCATCAATTTTCCTTATGTATGTTAATTTGTTTTGCTTCACACGCAGCTTTCAGCAGTGAGTTCCACATGCTCACCACCCCCTGAAGATCTACTACAAGCTATCTTATATTAATAGCCCCTTGTTTTGGACTTGCCAACAAATGAGCTAACCCAGCAGATATTATTTTGACTTATGAAGAACTGTCTTATTTGCAGCTTACAAGATAAGTCAAAATAAATAATTACATCTGCAGGTTTGGGATTTGAAATTTTAAAACACCTTGCTTTCTCTCATTTCTCAAAACACAGTGGAAAATGCATTGCGAAAATGTGATGTATGAGCCCTCAAGGCAGGAGAGGAGAAAATTGGAGGAGAAAATCAAATTAATACTTGATGCACTTACTTGAAATAGAAGAAAATAGCCAAAGAAATAAGTAATGCTACTATGGAGAGTGTGTGACCCACAACAGCCATGTAGTAAAGAATACGTGCCATCTGGTAAGAAAGAAAAATAACATTACAGTAGTTGTAATCTGAAAATATGCAATTTTTAAAAAATATAACCCATGTTTATAAATTTTAGTTTTAAATGCATTTTATTTGACATTAATAACACAGCAGCAGCTATGATTATGAAAAGTTGATCACCCGTGGGATTAGTTCAGATTCTTCACTAAAGTCTGTTAGTATAGCAGATACATTGATATCAATCTCTGTATTGCTTGGTGTTCTGCATGCAGTTTATCTCCCTGCAAAACTAACATGTCAAAGCTTTCTTTGATAGTAGCAACTTCAGACTCGGGGGAGCGGGAAGATACTAAACAGAAATGCTAGTCATCAATATAGTCTAGTTTGCCCTCAGAACAGGCATGTGCCAAGTACTGCAAACAAGAATGCAATTCAGTCATTCAATTCCTTTTTCATTCAAAAAACATACCTTCATCTGCTGGCCTTGATTTCATGGGAATATTTCTAGTGGGTTGTTTGCTCCAAATTATATCATGTGTTTTCACTTTGAATTGCCACCTAATTATAACCATTTATGTGACTTGTTGCTATTTATGTTTGGATACCAGAAGGCTGAAAGGTTGCTGTGTACCCCAACTGTTGCTTTTATTGGGTTATAAAACAGTTCCTGCCAGTGCTTAGTGTGTGTGAGATGATTGTATTTGCAGATTGGAAATGAGGATAAAACATTTCTATATAGCTCGGATTCCCAGTCAGAGGATGAAGCGCTTTGAGACGTCCTCCTGACGTGAAAGGAGCTATATATATGTAAATCGTTGTATACTCAGTGGGAGTCCAATATCTGATTGCTTAGCTAATCGAGAAGTTTTACAAGAATTGATCACAATAATCTTTGTTTGAGCTGAGTTCTTTGTGATATGAGTATAGAATCATAGTATCATAGAATCTTACAGCACAGAGTATGACAATACACAGAACTGGAAAAGATAAATGGTCAGTCCCCAAGTTTAAAAACTATCATACAAAAAAGACCTTTATCTCATACACACTCAACCATTTTCTTTGCCAAAATTTTATCACATTCCCTCTTCAATATGCAATCTTTCAGATTGTTGGGCAAAATGGAGAAATTAAGGATTTGATTGGATTGATGCTGATGTTCAAATTGGAATCTATCACATGCCGAATACTAAAGATGATGATAATTTTGTTACTTGTTTGTATGATTGCTCATGATAATAAACTAACAAAACAACCGTCAGTTGTATAATCAACCAAAGATAGACTTCACTGAACAGAAAGAATTGAGAAAGTAAACCCAGAATCATGCTTTCAGATACCCCAAGGCAGCAGGAGGCACAGGCTCAGGGTTTCAAATATGACAGACACCACCACCAACAAATTTATACAGTAGCTTTCACATCGGAAAGGCGTCCCAAGGTACTGGATAGACCATTACTCAAGCTATGGGTGGAAGCCAAGGATAATGGACCAAAGGGGTTGGGAACCAAGGGGACTGGGAGTGGCAGGAAGGATGACAGAAAGTACACTCAATAGGAAAGTTTTGAGGTAGATCTTGATTCAGCAGATATGCTGAAAGTCTAACCGTCAATGGTGGCGGGGTAGAGCAGAGACATGAAGCAGGCAAGTATGCACATTTTTAATCCTGAAATCTGATTGACTTTATTTTGACAGTAAATAAACATACCCTTCACATATCTTTTTTCTGAACACAATTATTTATGTTACTCAGATTCAATTGGGATTGGATACACCGTATACAGAGTATACATGATGAGGACATTGGGGTATAATGTTGAACCCACCAGTAGTCTGATAATTATAGAGCAACAAAGTTGTGGACGAATGATTGCCAGAAACGTAAGTGAGTTATTGCAGTGAAGGAATTCATAAGTTCAGGAAAAGACGATTGTGGCCCCAAAGTGAAAAATAAATCCTACAACACTCTGTCTTAAACCCCAATCATCAGTTGATTTATTTCCCGATATCTACATCGCCAGTAGCTAGGCCATGCTCAGTGGCTCCTTATCACGCATCATGTCTTCTGTTTTTAGAGCCCTTAAGATAAGTAATCTCAGTGATGAATGTATATATAAACTTCAAGTGCAAATGAAAATGCAATTCATTTGCAAATTTTGTTTTGCTCAGCCATGTGGCCAACAATTCCGGAGGAGGGGAAAAGACTTACCTTTATTTTATAATCTGCAAATTTATTACAAAATGTGTAATTGGACCAAGTACGATTGGTCTCTGGATGTTTAAACCAGTTCCCGTTGTCATCACAGTATTTTGTCACTTTTTCTTGAAAGAAAGCAAACAGAAAATAGAGTTCCGTAAAATCATCTCTCTTTTAACAAGTGTTAACACAAACCGAATTTCGGAGAACAAAGCATTTCAGCCACCATGCTATTTACACATATGAGGTAAAATTGCTGTGTTCTTAACCCATTCCTCATCTATTAATACCCACAAATGCATTGCTTAAAGTGCAGGGGTAAGATCTCTCTCATTTACCTGTCTAGTCAAATGCACTGTGCCAGCTTCTTCACCAACAACTTGTATTTACCTGCATCTAATCCAATAGCAAGGAGGTGGAGTTGGGAGGTAAGGAGAGGGGTAAGGATGGGGTCGAGAGAACAAAGAAACAAAGAATGAATCTCTTACCAGTTTCATCAAAGTCATTGAAATAGTCTGGACAGTTCTGCATGTTGAGTGTTCCAGCCACGGTGTCCTCCCAGCATAACCATCCATCCCAGGTTCTGTTACAATATGGGCCTGGAATATTAGAAACTGCTGGTGATTGTCTGTACTATGCTTTGATAAACCATTTATTAAAGATACCAATTTGTTATTTACCTGGTTTACTAAGTGGAGGATCTCTGACCATTTTTTCATAACACTTAAACTGTGCATCCATTATCTTTTGCCTTATTAAGTTCTGTGCCGTCTCGACAGATGGAGGCTCAATGGTATTATCAGCATAATTCTCAGTTGATGCAAGGTTCGGCATTATTCTCTGCGAGACAAAGAGAAGATCCATAGCTTTATGTAATCTTGTCTGCCAGAAGTGCAACATCCATCCAGACCACAAATTAGTCACTGATTGAAATCTTATAACAATGTACAAGTTGCTTGTCAGAATGATTTGTCTGTTTGACATTGATCCCAGTGATTCCATTAGCCTTGTGATACATTGAGATTGAAGCAGACTCCCAGGGAAAGCTCATGAATTTATGTGAAAGTCAGGCTAAGCCAAACAGAGAAGTAATCTGTGGCAAATGCTACATTTGTTTGAATTATTATTTGTTTGGCTACAAAATGCACAGTCACTACATTTTACAATAAACACTGTAATGCACTTTGAGACGTCTCCTGACATGAAAGCCGCCTTATCAAATATACGTATTATTAATATTATCCATATGTTTACAAGTTTCTTACGTAAATTGTGGAATAATCCAATATGCTATGTACGATACAATACAATTTCTATATCCCATTTCATATCGGGAGAACATCTCAATGCTTTCAGTGTAACTTCTGAAATTCCTTTTGCTGATTGTCTCTTTTGAAGAGTGGAAGAATCACACTATACCCAGGCGTGAAAGAGATAACTCAATCCTGGCTACCTCAAACTCCTTTTTATTTAGGGAAGAGAAAAGCTGATTCATGGTTCCCCATCTCCTCCTAAATATATTATCCTAATTTTTTTTCCCCTTTCCTTCCCTTCCCTTCTCCTCACTGAGCTGCTGACTCATGTTGGGCAAAGATTCCATCCCTGGCCTTGAATACCTCCAACACATGCTTTCTGTGCAAGCCCAGACTATGGATTGAAAACACAGGTTAGTAATACAAAATGTTATGGACCAGCAAGTTAGCGATTAATATTGCTATTTTGGGGCACTTGAGTTAATGGAAAGTCAATTATATAAATAGTCTCTGAGGACAGCAAACTGATTCCTATATTGTAACGACGTGAATCACCACTGACAAATACATCATTACTGATATGTGTTTACGTCATTTGTTGATATTTATGACAATGGATGGAACACTAATCTGATGATAAACATTTCAGATAGTCCATCACAGAACGTGGAACTTGAGATTAAAATGATAAATCACAGGCTATAGTTTGGAGCTCTTAGCTAGGAACTAATTTGATTTTTTTTAATGTAATTAAAGATCCGGTCAATTATCATACTTAAATCCTTTCCCATCTATTCTAATAATAATAACCATCATCATTGTAATACTAATAATCCTTTCAATTGATCTAGAGCCTTTCACATCAGGATACTGTTTCAAAGCACTTACAGAATTTACTATAATTGTGCATCAGCTTAGCTTAGTGGTAGCACTCTTGCCTCTGAGTCAGAACATTGTGCGTTGAAACACATGTCAGGACTTGAGCTCAGATAGTCTAAGGTGACACTCCAATGAAATGCTGGGGGGTGTTGCATTGTTGGACGTTCCATCCTTCAAATGAAATGTTAAACTGAGGTCCTATCTGCCTTTTTAGGTGGATGTTAAAGATCTAGTGGCACTATTCGAAAAGAGAAGGGAGTTTCTCTCTCCTGGTGTCCTGGCCAACAATCCATGGCTGTTTGTGGGACATTGCTGTGCACAATTGGGCTGCTGCATTTGCCTACAAATACACAGTCACTCCACTTCACAGTAAATCCTGTGAAGCTCTTTGAGATGAACCTCCGACATGTTAAGGAATGATAGCAAATGCAAGGATGATTATAATTATTAATGTAAAGTACAGCGACTTGTATTTTGTAGGCAAACTAATAAAATCACCCTTCTTTCATACACATGTGTATTGTTTATAATTGTGCTAATGTCAATTTCCTTTTGTTTATCTGTTAAATCCTTTCACCATCCATTTGCTCCTCTGTTTAATTCATCCACTTATTTTCAAGCAATCTATCCTCCTGACATTGCTCACCTACCCACATAGGTAAAGATACCATCAGCTAAATTTATCGTATTTCAAGAATCACTTCCGATGGATTCAAGCATGAATAGTGCGAGTAACAGGTAACCAAGTTTAGACCCTTAAAGAATTCAGTGCTCCCAAACTGATTCATTGTGAACCCAACAGGCTAATTTGCCATAAACTTAATCAACTTTAATGCTTTTTTAAAAAAAAATGAATGCTTTTAAACCCTAAAGTATAGAATATCCACTTTATAACCCTTTATCTTAACATGTTGTATCATGCACTTAGTTTCAGTATCGCCTATAATTTTCAGGTTCACGTGGCATTTCTATTTTTAGCTAACAAAACAACATTTCTTGAGCTTTCAGCCCTCAGAACTCCTAACATTAATAAACCAAGCCTCATTTATTTCCTCTCGCATTTTTTGCGGTCATCCTCGTGTCTGATCCATGTGAAATCCATCACCATGCTAAAGAGAATCGAAACCAAACTGAGAATTCCATGTATCCCACCTACACATGGAGATTCCAGAGATAGGTATTTAGGGAATAATCCATCTCTTTCCATGGAGGGACTCATTTGTCTTATCTGGAAAGTATTAGGTGTTGGTTGCTATGAGCTAAGGCATGGGCACCCCAGAGTGTGTGTTGGGGTAACTGCTGGAGTCTAACCAGCTAAACTGCATAGCTTGGCATTGATATTACTGTCTGACAAGCTTCCCACTGCTTGTCCAGCGAGGATAACCCTACTCGTTAAGACTTTGGCTTGCAGGGTTGCATTCTCTGAAGTCTTGCACTTTCTGAAGTGATCTTGGCATACATCTCATTTTATCTGATTGCCTTGAAGATATTTCTTGTGTTTCTGTGATACACTACTCTAGTGATACTACTTGTCCAAACGATTTGTGAGCTAAAACCACTGGATGTCCATGTTTAGAATATCTATTAGCACTTGACAACTCCATGATTATTTATGGAACATTGCTGTGCAAAAAATGACTGCTGTTTTGAGACATCTCAATGGCATGATAAGTTGCTATATCAGACACAACAATTGTTATATTATTATTATCTTTTGATTTTCTATTGTAGTGCCCTTGCTGTTTGTGGAATATTACTAGGCGCAGATTGGCAGCTACATTTGCCCATGAAATTCACAAAAACAACATAAACTTGCATTTATATAGAGCATCTCAGATTATTTTATATACAGTCACTACATTTCACAGTAAAATGCTGTGAAGTGTTTTGAGATGTCCTCATGACGTGAAAGATGTTGTACCAAATATAAGGATTATTATTGTTATCTCTTCCTAATTTATCCCTTAAAGGACCTGATACCTGGAAATTCTTAACCTTAAATTTGAACCATTGCCTTAAAATTTAGCATCTCGTCAATTGTATAAAAAAATTATTCTGAATTTGGATGCCGATTTAGGAAATCAGGATTACAGTAAATGCAGTGCCTCCAGGGGACAAACTGGCATTATTACAGGCTTCATTGATTGAATGGTTTCCTCCTAAGGTGTAATTTCCATAATTCTCTACTTTGTTACTTCCTATAATGGAGTCCTGTAGCATAGTAATCAGATCACTTGCCTCGCAAGCGAGAGGAAATGGGTTTGATTCCCAGGCAAGGCGAAACTTTGGGCAAGTTTCATTAATCCACATACCTCTGGCACCTGACAGTAAGTAGGAACCCGGTTGTTAGTCGAATTGGCGGATCACTTTTCCGGAGGTAATAACCCCTTAAAAAATCAATAGTAATTTGGTCACTCAATGCACTACTGTTTGTGGGACACTGCTGTGCGCAATTGGCTGCTGCATTTTGCCCACAAAATATACAGTCAATTCACTTTACAGTATATTCTGTGAAGCGCTTTGAAATGTCTCGAAGACGTGATAAGGCGCTACGATACAGGGAAACTCTGTAGTCTATGTCCATATCTTAAATCCGCAAGTTAAAGCAAAGCATAACAAAAGGCTGATCATTGGGTCATCATATTGTCGTTGATATCACTTCTTGTGCTCACTGCACGGAAAGCATTCCTGATATCACTTCCTGTGCACTGCATGCCATTAAGTGCTATGCAAAGTGACATCAGCACTTGTGCAACACGCAGGAAGTGACACTAACATTGACCCAGCAACCAGGAAAGTGGTTTTAGCACAGGAAACCAATTGAACCACAAAGGAACCTGAAATTTTTTGCTGGAAGTACTTTACTCCTGTTAAACTCAACAATTTTTCATATTACCCACTCACTACTTCTTGTTTCTTTGCATCTAGTTAAGCGTTCCAAGACTCCTCTATGTGAAGGGCCTTATATAAATGCAAGTTATTGTTTTTCTTTTAACAAATTTTACTCAGTCTTTAGCAACATTGAATAGAAACACTGACTTTATTGAGCCGTTGAGGTTGATTTTTCCATAATTCTGTAGGATTTCAAATTTTAAGACAAAAGAATATTTGGGGCTATTTCTAGGTGAAATGTTGATCTTCTGAAGTCAAAACTTTAGACAAGTAAATGATCTGAGGTAAAAGCATTCATATTACAAGGGTAGAATTTTCCATAAACAAAGGATAGTAAAAGACCGTGAGTGAGAATCATTAAATGCAAGTCTATTGTCTACACATTTATCTTATGTCCTGGTTCCGGTACATTAATATATATATATTATATATATATAAAATACATGGAGGTCCTGTTGTGTGCATGTAAGCATCTCTATTCTCAATCCTGATATATTGATTATAACAGGGCTTTGCTGCATATTAGGCTTTATTGCTTGGAATCTGAGAAATTCCGATATAAATATTGCATACAAACATTATAAAATTACTAACGGAAAATTCATCGGTAGCTGTACTGTGGAATACCCACAGGTATTGCAGTAATTTTGCACTGACTGAAGCTCATGCCTTTCACGTCCATATTATTTAACAAAGAAACCAGTCTTACAAAGTTAAACAAAACTCAGCAGCATTTTTCAGTCATGATTTCCAATGCTTGTTGGCACTGTGATAAAATAGTAGCCTGGCCTCAATTTCCTGTTCTCTCTTTATTGA